GTCAGAACTAACAGGGAACAAAGAGATGACGCGCGTGACATATTTTGGCGAAAAGTGCAACCTTCACTGGATATATTTAATTGACAATTTTTTTTTCTTTTATTGTGTAAAATTTACATGCTACGGCCACAACGAATTGTGTTGCGAAATACATCTCCAAGAATATAATTTTAAAGTTGTCGAAATGGAATAACTTACCGTGTATCGTGGTCGGCGTTTTCTCTGGCAGTCCTGGGGACTCTCTACCCAAGGGCGCCAAATTTTGCTGAAATGATCAAACACAGATGAGACAAGAAAATATGTCGTTTTTCACGAATTTAAGAGCCACAGATACGTTCAAATGCCCAGATTCATGGATTTGGCGGGTGTACGTGTACGAGTAATTGGTTTTTGTGTTTCGTCCATAATTCACCGGTAAAACATGGCCACTACATAAGAAACCCTTTGTAAGCCCAATTGATTCCGACCTAGAACATTTGCACACGAAAATCTCTTCATATAGCCCCTTCGTGCTTTCTTTTCAGTAAAACGTTTAACACGACATTGACTGTTGACAGAGGGCTTTGTGAAATTCCTTCTTTGCATTGCTCATCGTCAATTCAGCGCTCACGAAATATTCCTTAGCCGATTTGTTTTGAACACGGTGGCTTCCATAATACACAATTTACAAATCAGTTGCAACAAAGTACTTACTTCATCTTGTGGCTTCAGTATAAAAGATCCTTTTAGCTACAACAGGTCCTTCTTTTTAGCTTGCTCAGTTTTCCTGTCAATTCGAAGAGGAAAGGAGCGATGTTATTACAATTTCAAGAATTAATGAGCTAACCTTGAGTCACGAAATCATTCTATAACGACAAATATGTAGTCATGGGTTGTAAAACTACCTTACAATATGTTCGGTACACGATTAGGATTTCTGCCAAGCTCCTTTCAAATCGGCACACAGACGTTCTAGGCAGTTTCAAAACTTTGTCAAAATTGCACTGACTACTGAACAAGGCAAGAGCTGAGGTGTTAATGGCCAACGAAGTGCGTTTTTTCGAGTTATCTTATCATGTTGTACAAGAGTTTGCCCACGTAAACTTCCTACCATGAGTCACGTAAAGATCTTCTTGCCGCGTAAATCGTATTTGAGCTTTATCAAGAGGGAAGAGTTCAGGAACGTGTGAAATCTTTGGCAAAATGTCGTAGAAGCGCCAAAATATAGTCTGGACGTGCCTAGTGTGTCGTCCAGAGCCAGGAAATTTTCACACCTTAGGGCTGCACTCGGCCAATCACTCGAGCTCTCAAAGACAACTTATTGTTTTGACCGTCAAAGGGCTTCCACAACACCGTGTGCTTCGCACTGCTCGTGCCGTAAACTTGTAAACACAGAGTATGAATTCACACATTTAAAAAGCGAATTGGTACTTTTCAGGCGGCAAAACTAATGCAAATTTCGTTGCTGTGACATGTGTGCTGTCGGAGACGCAAAAAGAATGTAAATAAAAAGCGGAACACACGTTTTGCGAAGACACATGGTTTATTGGTCACGCAAAACAATTAAAATCTTGTTTCTTTGTTTCGCCCGACTCTATTTTAAAATGTAAATTCATCTGTATTCTGTATTTTGCAAAGCCTATTATCGGATCTTTTGCGGCCGGTTTTTGCCGTTAATCAGAACCCTTTTTAACGCTTGGCGGATATTTTTCGGGGGGCAAGGAGTAAAGCAAGATCTTTAGTAAACCTGACAAATTTTTTAATACCCTGTTAATTTGTCGTTTTATTCGTAGAAGTGTAAAATACTTCGCAAAATACTATCACCAAATTTCACGGGACGTATGAAAGATTTATTAGCCATGTTTCCACGCTACCCCCCGTCAGTGCAGCCCGGGCTGACCCTCTCGGGATAACAGACTTGAAACCCTCCGCCATGTTTTTGCGTCTTGGAGGAATCGAAGGTCTTCTGCTTGTTCAGTTATGGTAAGAAGTGAGATGTGTATTGTTTTCAGATTAGCCAAAGGTGTTAGAACTCCAAGGTATTAAAAACAGTACTTTTCCCTTCGTTTAGCAAATGTTTTTGCGGATTTACATAAGATCGAAGAGAGCTTTCGCTAAGATCCGCGTCAAAACTACACTTTTGTTCGATGAAACCTCAACAAATTCAATCTACTGCCCATGAAAAGAGAAATTCAATGCGTTTACAGGCCGCTAATGCTACAAGTTAATGGACTATTTGAACAATAGAGCGAAACAGGTGATTCTAGCGGGATCTTTTTCTGATAATGGTTTTAAACAATTCTTCCTGGCGGGACCTTTGTGATGAGATGGAACCGAGGTTATCAAAGTACTTCTTTTCCTGTACAAAAGCTCTTGCCACTGAAATGACTTGGAAAGGACTTGGAAATTGTCATTGGTTTTAATTAAAAATATTGAATAGGTTAGTTCAGCTGGAAATGGTGGTCTATTCTTAAAATGTGGTGGGCAGGACAGTCTGTCAACATGACAATTTTACAGCTAGTGTTTCAATCAATCAATCAGTGTTTCTTTATAATATAAGAACTAATGAAAATGCATGGTTTACGAATCAAAAGGTTGTTCGGTGTGGAAAATAATGATGAAAGTTGTAGTCCATTTGTGGATTTTTGCAATGGCCTCCCCAGGACAGAATCAACTGGTCATTACAGGGAAGTGGCTACACTGCCAAAGCAATAAATTAACTAAAAGTGTATGGATTCATGTGTGATCATGTAAAAAATTCCTAGCTTTTGTATGTGTTTTTTTCTTTAGATCTCCCTATGTCAACATTACTTTTCACCCTAAGGCAATCCGGGCAGTTTCCAGCAATATTTCTTTAGATAGTGAGTTTTCATGACAACTAATGGATCTATTAAGTATACCATTTTTCAATATATTAACCTATTTTAAAGGCCCATTTCTTCAATGGACCTTAATGTATAGTCTATTTTCTGGTTCTAAGACATTGTGCTATAAATGTGTAAAACTTTGGTGAATCAACATGTCTCTTCAGGATATATAGCTTGAAATCTTCCATAGTAAATAGTTATTCATTAAACAGGAAGCAAGAAATCTCATCTTGCGGTTTACTGCCTGTCATTTTTGGCCTCATAACACTTGATTTCACTATCAACCAAGAAACAACTTTTCTTTTGTACATGTAAATTATCTCCAAATCTAATGCATTATAATTATGTGGTATTTTAAAAGGGTACATTAGCTTTGTAGTTTTCTATTGGAAGTTTCTAACAAGGGGCTTTACCATCTTAATTCCTAAAAGCTGACTTCCATTTATGTAACATCTCATTAAATGTGTTATTTCTAATGAGGTTCTGAATGTTTGGTATTTTTTTCTTATGGCTGACGTTTTAAATCTGTTTTTTGTGTCTTATTCTGATGTACCATTATTTAATTCAGGTCAACTGTCTTCCAAATCAGCTAAATATAATTTTTTAGAATTCTAGAATACATGCTATTTTTACAACATTTTGCAGCAAATAAAACTATCTACCGGTAACTTTTTTTTCCCATGAACTTTTTTAATGTTATAATTTTCACTGGTTTGTGATCTATAAGTGAAGATTGAAATATTTTTTTCTTTCAGTTGCATTCTGCTTCATTTAAAATTATGCCAGCATTTTTCAAGTAATTTATACTTGTTTTGAACTGGCATGGACTCTATGATCCTCAAGACTGAACAAAGTGTAACAATACAAAATATGCATTAACTTCATCCTGAAGAAGCATACCCCAGGACCATTACCAGAATGATATCTCATAATGACTTATTTCCGCATTGTTACTTCTGGACATTAGTGATCTCTTAAGTACAACCTAGAATGTGAGGTCAGTTGAAAAGTGAATAATCGTGCCTTTGAAACAGTCATTCAATTTAAAAGATAATAAATTCTCAACCCTTAAACTATCCCAGGTGTAAAATGATTTCTTTTGTTGTGAAATCAGCAATTTTCATATGCTTTTGTGCACAGCAGTGGGGTGTCGTAAGACTTTTCCCTTTTCTATGGGGAAACACCTAAGTAACATATTTGTATGAAGTATGGTACCCATTTGTAAAAGTTGGTGGAGAGAGGCACTGTGAGAGGAGAGTATCTTTCCCAAGGACACATCACAATGTCCCAGCCAGGTCTTAAACCTGGACTACTTAATCTGGAGTTGAGCGCACTAACCATGAGGTCACTGCAAAAAGAAAAACCTGTGTTTCAGCATCGGCAACTAATTTGATAATGTTGACATATGAGAACCTACATCATATAGGATTGTTATTTTGAGAAATTATGATCACATTTCTGTTGTCTTTATTTTAGGGGGCAGGAGCTTCAGTTGCAAATGAGGATGAAATAAGAGAGTCGGAATCTAATTCAAACTGTATGTACTTGTGACTAATTCTAGGCTTTAAACAGTGTACTAGCTAATATGCAGCCAGCTAATATGCAGAATAAATTAATACCTTTTTTGATTGACTTACTAAAGGATTGTGTAAATGTTAAAAATAATAATAAAAATGAATTTAAGACTTAATGTTCAAGAAACTGCACTCACTATGATTTATTACTCAGAGTTCATTACATCTCCATAAAGCACATAGCCTATATACCTGTACATCTTGTACAAACTACATGGAAGAGCAATGTATTCCACCCAAGTTTGTGTACATAAGATTTCTTGATTATTTTATACACTAAGTTGTCTAATTATATGCTTCTTGTACATTATTGATTTATATAAATAGAGTACTAGGGAACTTTTAAGAACACTCAAGAAGCGCAAAATTTTAAGTACTTGGCTATTCCTCAAGTAATTTGAGCTTGAGCATGGGAAAGGTGCCTAAAGGGATGGTGGAGCCAGGTGAGATAGAAGTGTCGAGCAGAGCATGCAGATATCCATGGCAAACCTGAATGTGGCAACAAGCTGCTTAGAGGGACAAAGGGCCCACAAACAGGGGAGGGGTGCAGTAGATCGCCAGCAACTCCCAACATTCCCAAGCACCTTCCAGCTCAACCAAAGGAGCCTGCACACCACAGATGACAGACAAACACATTTAAAAAGGAAAGCCTGTTACTTAACCAACTGTCTCATAAGCCCAGTGGTACTTAACTCCCGTTTCTATGGAAAGACATAATGGTCCAGTACAATTTACACCATTCCGAATTGTATATTTCCCTCAATGGAAAGTGGCCTCATCAGAGTACAGTGCCTCACCCAGGCTAAGAACATAATGCAGTGACCCCTTCAGAACTCAAATTTAGATTGGGGTCAGCACACTCTAATCATTAGGCCACACACCTCACCCAAACTTACTTACTGACAGAAGGGGGACATCGGGGGGTTTTGAATGCTGCAATACCACAAAAAAAAATCGGCAAATACTGCAATATCGCAAAAAAAAAAAAAAAAAAAAAATTGCTAAATACTGCAGTACTTCAATATCGAGTGGAAACTCAATGTCACACCAAACCAATACTCTGTATGTTAAGTTAAGAGTTAATAACAGGGAAATAACAACTATGAATTTGTTAATGAAAGTTAAGACGATTTCTGCAGAACAGTCAAGCAATAATGGCAAAAATTACATGTAAGTTACCAAAAAGACCTCATGGCGTGGTAATATTTTGAATACAGCTAAGAAGAACTTATCGAGACTTGAGCTCTCAAGCTGACTCCGCGAGAGAAAATTGAACTTGTAGTTAGCCATATTTCAATGAAAACAGACGTTTCGCATTAGTTAAAAACACAATAACACACACTTTAACCATTCTTAAGAGGTTTGACATTAACTTTTTCGAGAATGCTTGAGAATTTAATTGCGGGGTCACTTAGAGAAATGAACTAAAGTGAGTTGTTTTAAATAGTATGCCAGATGTTACCGTGCAATGAGTGGATTTTTAGTGAATAGTTTTTGCACTTATTGCTCAAACTTTGAGCGGAATCTGTCTTAATTTTTAATTTAGACAAAATAAACAAAATAAGTGACATCCACTGGTGTGTTGGCTAATAAATAACAAAAAATAACTTACCCTTTTCGGATTGCGACACAAGGAATTGCAGTTTACCATTACCATGAGAGTTAGGTTTCATTGGGAATGTCCAATCGGAAATTGGAAAAGTCTCGGAAAATGTTGTAGGACTTGGAGGATAATTTTAATTACCATCTAAAATGCTAAAAAACCGCATCCTGCAGGTTCAGAGAATACCACAATACCACACACTAATACCACAAAAGAAATTGTCCAGTACCATAATACCGCAAACCCCAGTGTATGTCCCCTTCTGACAGTAAATCTCTGCCTGAAATCTCTTTTGTTGTAGTCACTGCAAAAGAAATACCCAAGCTGTTGAAGAGGTTTGCATACTATGATCCAGGGGGCAGAAATGGTGGCATAACACTTAAACAGTTCCTGGACATACCAGAGATATCTACAAATCCAATTATGCCTAAAGTGGCCTCTGCTTATCTTGAAAGAAGGACAAACAGGTTAACGTCTGAGTCATTCATCAGCATCCTTTCTAGATTGAGTCCACGCAACTCACTGGATGACAAGAAACAATGTGAGTATTGCAAGGAGTATGTTGTAGGTCAATTTGTTCTTAAGGTCAGAATGATTTCAACCTAGATTGATTTTTTTCCTCCTAGGTTAAATTAAAACCGGTTTAACTTTTTGGGGGGTCTTAAAAAGAATAACATGCCCTCCATCCACCCCCTCAGTTTTATAACCCTACCCTATCCTGCCAGGATCCCATATCAACCCCCCCTAACCCTAACCCCCCAGATTACTTTTTTTGTAATTATTCTCACCTAGATTTGAAAACCTGATCTCTGACTAATGTAGTCCACTAACATCTCCACTAAGCCACGCAAGCAATCATTGTAAATTTGCCCAAAAAAGTTATTTGTCCTGGACTCCCCCTTCTCCTTTGACACAAATTAACCTATGTTGAAATCATTCCGACCTAAAGAACAAATTGACCTTGACTGAACAAAGGCATGTCAATTCCCTTCCCAGAAGGGTTTTGGAGTTCGCTTCCCAGTACTTCATAATCTGACTTTCCCAAAAATTTGCTGACAGTCCCCTCCATTTAGGTCATCTTGAAAGTAAAATGCCTTGCCTTATGAGAATATGAGGGCTACTCAAGGAATCACCATGATTACCAGACGTCCTGAATTTTGTTATTTAATATGATGTTCTTGACTGAAAGAAGGTATTGCTGAAACATGGGAAAATTTATTGATGAAGTGTTTCAGACTATAAAGATAGCTAAAGAAAGGCATAATAGTATTTAACTATCACAAGAGAAAATCTCTTACTTGAAAAGAAAATGTGTTATAAACTGCCAGTGAATATCCTCCAAGGATCTTATATCAGGTTAGATCTTTTTGAGAATCTTAAACAAGATCCTCAAATTTCCTGGTCAAGAATCTTGAGGATCTTAAAGGATCTCTAAAATTCTTGCCAGGATCGATATCTTCGAAGATCTTTACCAAGATCTTTAATGATCTTGAAGGATCTTCAAAGATTTGCCAGAAGGTCTTGCCAAGACCTTTGAAGATATTGGAGGAAACGTGCAAAGATCTCTAGAAGATCAAATAAAATTTATTTCTTAATGGCTTAATTTCCATATCCTAATATTTTACTATTTTCATTCCTTTATCTTATAAATTGAATTGAATTGAATTGAAGGATCTTTGCAAGATCTTTCAAAATCTTTTTTTTTTTGTTAAAGAACTTTGAAAATCCTTATCTTCTTGAAGGATCTTTTAGTAGATCCTGTTAGCCTTTTCATCAGCCAGCTGAGTGTCCATGTACACCTCATGTCTACTTTAATCCGTCTTACAGTTGTACTGTTTTCTTTTTTCGTAGTTGCATTTCAGTTGCTAGACACTGATAATGATGGGTACTTGTCATACAGCGAATTGTTCAGCTTGTTCAGAATGGTAACTGGCCCTACATTAACAGATGACCACGTTTTGGGAATTATAACAAGCATTTTGAGTAGGAGTGACCTGCAGCAACCTACAAGGTTGACATTTGAAGAATTCACAAATGTAAGTTATGGATCAGTATTTTTAACTGTTGAATAGTCAATAATAATAATAACAAGAACAAGAACAAGAACAAGAACAGGATCAAGAATAACAACAAGAACAACAATAATAATCGTAATAATAATAATAATAATAATAGTAATAATAATTAAAACATTTATACAGAATAGCTGCATCAATAAGGACCTTAAGGACGTTCGTGTGAAAATTTTCCAGTCAAAAGTTTTTTCTTAATTTTTTACAGCAGTCAGATAATGAGTTACTTGTGTCAGAAATGCAAAAAGAAATGGGGGGTCACCATCTTTGTTTCTGAGATAAAGCATGTGGAAAACTACCCTGATTTTGGAAAATTGGCGCACGTAATACGGCATTGTCTACAGAGGTTTTATAGTTAAAAATATCAAAGGTGAGTCAGCAGAGGCAAATGATCTTAGTCATACCGGTATTTTGTAGAAGTGGGTCTGTTGCGTAAATAATTCCAAATTTTACCAGTGTTTTCACAAAACTTAATCCTCCAAGAGGCATTTGAAACCATCGCACAGATAAACAAAGAGGTAGAAAAAATGGAATTTGATGGCCAGTGGATTTTGCAAAAACTTCAAACTTCTGGTTGGTAAATTTTATTCATTTTTTCACGAAATGTAGAAAATCAGTAGAGAAAATGATCCATCAAAAGAAAAATAGGGGTCTCTGAACGTCCAAGATTGTTAAATTCAGGCAAAGCTATACCAATAGCCATCTGCCCTATCATTGTTTATTTTATTACCTAGCACGTGCTCTCATGCATGATGTGGCGAGTGAATTTGTGTGTGCAGTAAGAATGCACAGAAACAATTTACCATGCACATGCTTAAGATCCAACAATGGCAACGCCAAGGACAATGTCAATTAAAAATGAATTTATATTTTACCTACGAATCTCACGATACTCTAAAGTCATTTACTTTGTTAATCACTATCAAAACTATCATGAAACTGAATCTGGGACACAGTGATAAATTTGAAATAGAAATTTGAAACATTAGCAATCGTGCTTTGCATGCCCCACACAATGCAGAATTTGGTCATTTCACATTGTTTTCCAGATGATGGCAAAGAAATGTACCAAGGATAATGATGCATGTGCTGACACAGCCATTGTTTTGCTCATTAAACCTCTTGATTAGTGACATTCCTGTTTCCATTGCCATCATTACAGAGGAAAGCTTGTGTCTAGCTAAAGGACATCTGTGTGGGTAGTTTATTAATAGTCAGCTTCTGGTTGTGTTTTAAGTGAAAGAATTATTTAACTATCAGTAAATGTTATGGCTGTAATATACTGGCTTCATTTCAATTTTGTGCTAGATTGTCTCTGATGAGGAGATAGAAGAACTGTTTACTGTGGAATTGCAACTTCCATAATCAAATGGTTGATGTGGTGCAACTGGTTACACCCCAGAGAACACCTTTGTAACTGCCATGACATTGTGGGCTTCATAGGACGAAAGACTTGTGATGACAAACAGCTGAAAAAGAGAGAAACCAGGTATGGCCCAAGACATGAACAACAGGAACGACAGTGTTTGTGAAGCCTTGTGTATACTCCGACATGATGCAGACAGGCATATGTAAGAACAGGTTGGAAGATGTTGTCATTCTCACTGCTTGCGGATCCCAGCGTCACAATAGCACAAAGACTGAACACTTTGATAGACATATAACATTACATTAATTTTGAGAAATGGCAAAGTAACATTAAGTAGCTTGTTTGTTTTCTATGGTTGGTAGTGAAGGCAGTATTGGTGTCCCAACTATTTTCTAATTTGTCAAATTGATGTAAGGGTAAAGTCTGCATTCGAACCAAGTGGCCCATCAGGCTGGCCCTTATCTCCAGTTTCAATAGCATGAGGCAACTAAGAGTATTTCTACTCCCCACTGGATTGATGCTAGTCCATCGCAGGGTTACCAGCATTAAATTTGCCAGTGCCCATTTATACACCTGGGCCAGGTTGTTCAAAAGCTGGTTAACGCCAACCCAGGATTAAAAGTTAACCGAGATATTAATTTTTGTTGTATGAAAATGTTTCTCAGTGCTTATGTTTTGCATAGTTTGATATTATTCAAAGTCAAAACTGAAGGGCAAACAATGTGAACAGAAAACCTTACAGGGTTAGCCTAATCGGGCTTTGAACAACCCGGCCCTGGGTGGAAAGAGACTATGTGAGAGTAAAGTATCTTGCCCAAGAACACAACACAATTTCCACAGCCAGGGCTCGACCCAGACTGTTTGATCCGGAGGAGAGTGCACTAACTATGAGACCACCCTGCCTCCACTAGCAAAATTGAAAAGCCTCCAAAATAGTGGGAAATTAAGTGGCAAATAAAGAGGGTGTTAAAAGGATGGGGTCAAAGGGAAGATTACCGCATCCTTGCCGTAGAATGAATTTTGGGAGAAGGGGGCTAAGGAAACGTGGACCAATTCCCAGGGAGAGTACAGAGTTAATAGCCATCTGGAGAGGAGTGGACTGCCCTTGGCAGAATGGCCCCTTGCTCCCTGACTATTATGCTTGGAGAAAGAAATCCAATTTAACAAAGGTGTTGCCAAGATAATATTTGATGTAATTTCAGCATCAGAGATGCCTGTGTTCAGGTTACAATAAAGTGAGTCTTCTATTCCTGTTAACTACAACTCTGTTTTACTCAGTAATAACGATAATAACAATTCCTACAAAACAGGACTCTCAAGCTGGCTAAATCCACAATTGTTCAGGAATTATTCCTGAACAATAGCATTATTCTCACATTGTGCTAACATAATCTATATTAGCTCACACAAGAGTGCAACAGACTAGATGGTACTGGTCTTTGTGAAAAGTGACCAAGATACAATGTGTTATTGTAACACTGCAATAGTCAGCTTCATGTTTGAAACATGCAACCATCTCTTCTATAATTTGTATATCTTATAGACCCAAAAAGATTGCATTGGTAGCGACAGGGTGCTAAAGGAAAAAAGGAACTCTAGATTAATGTTTCATGTAAAACAAAAGAACCAGTTTGTGTTTGTAAGCTGTTTGTTTTATTCAGATTGTTCACAGCCCCTCAAGCTGAAACCGCAGGTGCCAGTTGCCAAACTTGGACTGACAAAATGTCTGAGGCACTGAGAACAATGGGAAGAGCAGTGCAAGGACTATGTACCACCACAAAGGACTTTGATGAAGTCTACACTTCTAGTTGCTTCATGCAACAGAAAGAGAAAGAGAACAGAATTTAATTTATTTTAACTTAAAGAGAACACTCTTCACCATGCTTCACTTTGTCAATCAAATTTCCCAGTGTCCTTGTTATAAACTGAAGACTACCCACATCAGAGAGTCTATGACCTCCATCTTTGATGAGTGTCACACAAACATCATTACTTTCGAGCTGGTTTACCAGATCAAGTGAAACCTGGTATGGTACATCACTGTCTTTCATGCCATGGATGAGACACACAGGGCAATGGATGGGGTATAATTCATTCTCTTTTAAAATGTGCTGCCGTGCCTCTTTGATAACCTTTAAATCTAACACATATGGTTCTTCACTGTGCTCTGTAGGTATGATCCATTTTCCTGTGGACTCTACCTCTGTCTTTATAGCATCAGGGAGATTGTTGTAACGACGTGACAAAAAGTCCACAGCACTAGCTATCCCAACCAGACCCTTTATCTGGTCAGGTTTTGTCATGGCAACCAGAAGCATGATCCACCCTCCGAGACTTGAGCCAACCAGGATTTGTGGACCTAGAAATGTAACACAGTAAAGGCATCTGTCAAGAATTCAGTCTAACATTTGTCAAGAGTTCAGTAAAAATAATCATGCTTTAAACAAGAAGCTTGCAGTTTATGGATAAAATTGTGTTGTTTAAGATGGACTCCTTTTGTTAAAGGAAATAAAGTTTTAATTGTTATTATGTTAAAAAAGATTGCATATTTCACAGTGTGACAATCATAACCAAACTGGCATTAAGTTTTTAACCCACTGTTAATGTCACTTCTGAAAGGTCAATTGCTGTCATATACTGTGTATGATAACTTTTTAATACTAGTACATAACGTTTAGTGATCTAGCTGCTTTAAAAATAGGAAAGTACCCAAAACTGATGTACAGTTAGATTGATGACTGTGGCTCCCTGCAAAATAAAATTTCAAAATTATAGGCATGATCAAATCCAGCATGTCTTCAGGAATCAGAAGTAATTATTGTTGCAAGATTTACATGAGTGATGTAATGATTTTGCTGGTCTAGACGTTTGTTTTTTGCAATGTGAACTTTCAGAACTTGAAGTATTTCTATTCCTACTCGTTTTATGGAATGCTGGTACACTACTGGGTTACCCAGCATTTTATTCAATGCTGCCCATTTATACACCTGGGTGGAGAGAAAAACTATTTTTGCCCAGGAACACAATGCAACGCCTCGACTGGGACCCTGATCCAAAGACAGTTTACTAACCACTACTCCACTGTCATGGCCTTCCACCAGGGAGAGGGGGTCAAGAGGTCATCCTCGATTAAACACCTTAATATGAATCTTAGCACCCTTCACACATCTGTTCACTAGGTGCAATCTAGCAGTCAGTAGTTTTTTTTTATAGATCTACGAATGGGTGAAATATCTGTCGCAAGGAGGGTGCACACCTTGTGCATCAACGTGTCCATGCCACACCAGCTTGTATCCATAGCTGGATGGAGGCTTGTCATCAGGCTGACATGCCAAAGTAGACATTGCGTCTAAACTGTTTGTGAGTTGGGTGTGCAGATGAGCTAGAAAATTATGCAACCAAGGGAATTAAGCCTATAGGTATAGATCAAAACTATTTTATTACCCTTTTCCAGTGCTACATGCCTTACTGTTGCCACCTAGGAAAGTTTTTGTCAGTTTTCGACAACTTCTGATGGCCAATCAAACTGTGACAACTTGCCAGTGTTTTCAAACATTTGCAGGTTGAGACTTTTGAAATTCACAAAAGAGTGACTAAAGAATTTGACAATTCAACATCTACACCCTCAACAGTTTGGCAACTTCCCATCCTTAGATTGGCTGCTTCAAATAGAAGCCAGGAAAAAGTTGTCAAAAAGGTGACAAAATTATTAAATCAAAAACTTTCTGAAGTAAAATTTCCAAAGGTGATCATTAGGTGTTGATAAAAATAAAGTGTGATGCTGTGAACAGAAAGCTTGTAAAATAGTGATAGCTTCACCATAACTGGAATGAGAGATAGTTAGATATACCCACTAATCTGAAATTTGGGGAAAGGGAATAGAGGGGGTGGTGGTAGCCTGCATAGCAGGCGTTCATATTTCTAAAAGCACGCAAAGGGAACGAATTTTAAAAACTGTAGTCAAGTGCAAAAAGAAAAGGAGCAGTAGGGGAGGTGGGGGGTAACAAAAATGAATCCTTTCCTCCCCTTACCCTTTTTCCTTTATTTTTTTGCTCACCCCTCCCCACTTCTTCCCAGTTTTTGCTCACCCCAGGCGCACGTTCGTTTGCTTACTCGCTTGTATCTCCACAACAGACCCTTGAAAGTCCGAGAGATCGAGGGAGGGCGGGGAGAATTCGGAAGCCATGCAGCTTACCTTTTGCTACTTTGTCAAGAATTGCGAGTACATCAGCTTTCCTCATTCCAACTGTACATTCTTGGCTTCTTCCACTAGACATGCCATGACCCCTGTAGTCGAATCTCACGTATGATTGTCCAGTGCTTCTACAGTAACGTTCTAGTGCCAGCGCTTTCGTACCCTCCATGCTGGACATCAGCCCCGGCAAAAAAATAACCCCTGGAGATTTTCCCGGTAAGTGTCGATATGCTACAAATTCCCCAGGAGCTGGGGATATATACTGAACTACTGACTCAACTGAAGAACTCATTCTTTTAAAACAAATGGCTGATACGCGAGCTAAAAGAAAGTTCCTCATCTCGCCATTCCAGCAGGTCAATCACCCCTTACATTTAATTTCTGCAAAAACGAATATTGTCTTCCACCACTGGTTCCCAGGGTCTCTCATCTCGCCTCTCCTCTCTCGCTCCAGGGCCTAGCGGAGACTACATTGGCGGAAAGATGAGGGACCCTGGGAATGAGGTTGATTCCAACACGGGCCGTCGGATTCCACCGTCGGAGAAGCGCCGCCGCCACAGGGGCCGCTAACTCTTCGGATATACCAGGATTTACAAATTTTATAGTTAGGGACGTACCAATTTTTTTTTTTTGAAAGCGGTGGCGGGGTGGGGGGCCGGGGGGAGCAATTTTCTGGGGTATGAGTCTCCTTCGCAGCCGTTTTCTCCCGTTGGGTGGCACAAGAGAAAATGAACATCCCGAAAAACGGCCGCAAAGCTGAAGGAGTTTGTTTGTGCATGAATTTTTTTGTGGGCAATAGCGTGTACAATAATATTTTTAACATCAATAACAGAACCTGAATAGTAGAAATCACTACTTTTTGCTGGGCAGGAATTGGGTTTTTTTTTTTTTTTTTTTGGAAATTGTCCAACCACGCGCCCTCAAAAAGATAATGGTCCGTCTCTTATCTGTTCTTTGGTGAAACAGATCCTGCTGATGACAAGCACTTCTTTCAATAAACCCTCGTCAAGCCAATCATAAATACCAGGCGCTTTGGGTATACTGTGTCAGCGGCATTACTCATTATGGCGGCGTAAAGTTCTTCAAAGATGGCGATCTTGCCAACTCACCATAACAGGAATTTTCACCCAATTCCCGTCCACAGATCGGGACTTAGGCTTAGAGAAAAATATGTTTTATTGTTAATATTTATAGCTTTTCTTCTTTTATGTTTTGGGGCATTCTTTTTCGTGCCTGACTTGAGAGACAGGACATATTTAGAGGACGCGTACAAGAGGTTTGTTGGTGCCAGAGGCGACATTTTGCCAATCAAGGCTCCCAAAACACCGATTGTTAAACAAGTAGCAGGTAAATACCTGACTTTTGTTACGTTGTAGGCTACATGGTATCAATGAAGAATTGAATTGTCAATGTGGCATTTACTAATTTTCCTCATTCTTTTACTTGCAAGCAAATCCACAAGTCGCTGACGCTACAGAAAGTCCTAAGCTTAAATCTGAAATCCATGGTGAAGGAGCGTTTGACACGCCGGTGAAAAAAATACCAAATGTGGCTTTGAACCACAAAGAATTGATAGAAATGATAAAGAAGGAAAAAGAGAAATTTATTCAAGAGAAAAAATCCCAGGAACATGCTGAAAAGCAAGCTAAAATTGAGAAATTAGTAAATAGTTCCAAAGTCGACGAAACTGGAGCGAAGGGAATAACTGGGGGAGAACCTCTGGACGAAATTACAAAAGAAAGAAGAAACTTTGTTAAAAGGGTGAGTAAGATATATTTCTCTTGACGTGTTAACTCTTGATAAGTGATATTGTGCACACTCACTTCTAGACACTATTAAAAACCTGCATATTAATTTTGTCGACTAACGATTAGACGAGTGCCAAACAGTTGGGGCTCTAAGAGGTTAAAAAATTTATACGTTCAAAGTCTTTATTTTCCCAGTACTTAAAAATTCACAGAAGCATGTAAAAATATGCGATAAACAGTTCGAAATAAATTTATGTTGCAACTGACTTGATAAGAGTTTCCACATTTAATTTACTATTTGCTAATCTTGTTTGTTCGTGTTCGCAAAGCGCCCTATTAATATTCTAAATGAATCGTCGTTACTTTGTAAACTTTTCCGCCTTTTCTCTTCGAAATTGACAACGATCAAATTTGAATTGAAATAGCTTCTTATTTTTTTTCCATCCACTCTCAAGACCCTATTTAAAACAGTGAAAATTATCATTTAAAGCTGAAATGTATGTAATGTTTACTTAGCTGTAGCTGCCTTGTAAGGAAGGAGTGTGATCAGCTGTTGTCTCTCAGATGTAGAAGATAAAGAAAATTTATGAAATTTGTGTTTATCCGAGTTTTACATATTTCCAATTTTGAGGATTTGATAAGTGTCAACTCCACCAAGAGCTATTTGCAAATTACTGTGTTGTGTACTGACAATAGATGGCTTTCACATGACGTCATTAAATTCCAAAATCCAAAGCTAAAGAGGCACAAAAGTTTTTATCCTCATCAGGCATAAGGGGGTCTGAATTTATATCTGTTTACAAGTGCAGTTTAACATTCAGAGTTATGGCAGTGCATGACATACCACTCTGATCGCATTTGTGGAAAAATATACACTTATGTAGTGATGTTAGCCTCTTAAGGAGTTAAAGTGTTAGGAAAAGTGCTTGTGTAAATGTTTGTTTGTTCAGTTCATATAATAAGTTGCCTAGATGGCCAAAGTAAGTTCCAGATATTTACACTACTTTTCAGCCGCATGTTGGTGAAGCACAGAGCTCCACCAACACGGCGACTCCAAACTGGGCTCTAAATTTGCAAAACATTTCGACGAATGTCTGAAGTTTGGGAAAACGCAGAGACCTCAAACTTGGAGAGGGTCTTCTTTGCCTATCTCCTATAACATTACTTGACTTTATCCACTGAATAGTTTTTTTAGTTAATTTTTTTGTTGCATGACAGTGAAAACCATCTATATTCAAAAGTGTCTTGTAAATTCCTAAAAATGCACTGTCAAAGGTGTCTTGGAGTAGCTGAATTTCAACGGGTCAACTTGAGAATCGTTCAGGCTAACCAGAGTACTATTCAAACCAACCATTGTGATATCCAGGTTAACTGTTAACTGACTGCAATTTGACCTGTGAGTCACTGATTTAAAAGACATGGATTCATGATGCATATACTTGTGTGACTGATAAAAACGGGGACCCCTCCTAGAACAGGACTTCTTCAAGTTATTATTACTTTTTTTAATGTTTGTAGTCCTTGTGAAGTAAAGCTGCTAAAGACCACTAAAAGAGCCAAATGAATATTATTAACAATATGCTTTAGATATTGACTTAATGATATATAAAGGATAATCCATGGGTGTGTGTAGATATGGAATATCTCTTACAGTGTTCAACTCAGTATCTCAGGAGTGAGATATAAAGTTGAACACAAGAAGAGATTTTCTATATCTACAAGCAACCATATATTATTATGTTTATTATATAAACATACTGATGATGATGTTTTTGGTGATTTTCCAAAGATTTCTGACCACTTTCCAAAGATTTCGGAAGTTACTTCAAAAATTGTCTGCAGGCCACATAAACAATTTGGAATATTTTCCGAAAAATTTGGAAGATAACTGAAGATTTCCGAAGACTTTGAGGAACATCTGAATATATTTCGATTATACACCAACAAATTTAAGTACAGCTTTAGGGCCAAACATGATATCAGTGAAGTCATCAACAGACCTGCCAACTCTCCCTGTTTTCCCAATAACAATTCCTACAAAACAGGACTCTCAAGCTGGCTAAATCCACAATTGTTCAGGAATTATTCCTGAACAATAGCATTATTCTCACATTGTGCTAACATAATCTATATTAGCTCACACAAGAGTGCAACAGACTAGATGGTACTGGTCTTTGTGAAAAGTGACCAAGATACAATGTGTTATTGTAACACTGCAATAGTCAGCTTCATGTTTGAAACATGCAACCATCTCTTCTATAATTTGTATATCTTATAGACCCAAAAAGATTGCATTGGTAGCGACAGGGTGCTAAAGGAAAAAAGGAACTCTAGATTAATGTTTCATGTAAAACAAAAGAACCAGTTTGTGTTTGTAAGCTGTTTGTTTTATTCAGATTGTTCACAGCCCCTCAAGCTGAAACCGCAGGTGCCAGTTGCCAAACTTGGACTGACAAAATGTCTGAGGCACTGAGAACAATGGGAAGAGCAGTGCAAGGACTATGTACCACCACAAAGGACTTTGATGAAGTCTACACTTCTAGTTGCTTCATGCAACAGAAAGAGAAAGAGAACAGAATTTAATTTATTTTAACTTAAAGAGAACACTCTTCACCATGCTTCACTTTGTCAATCAAATTTCCCAGTGTCCTTGTTATAAACTGAAGACTACCCACATCAGAGAGTCTATGACCTCCATCTTTGATGAGTGTCACACAAACATCATTACTTTCGAGCTGGTTTACCAGATCAAGTGAAACCTGGTATGGTACATCACTGTCTTTCATGCCATGGATGAGACACACAGGGCAATGGATGGGGTATAATTCATTCTCTTTTAAAATGTGCTGCCGTGCCTCTTTGATAACCTTTAAATCTAACACATATGGTTCTTCACTGTGCTCTGTAGGTATGATCCATTTTCCTGTGGACTCTACCTCTGTCTTTATAGCATCAGGGAGATTGTTGTAACGACGTGACAAAAAGTCCACAGCACTAGCTATCCCAACCAGACCCTTTATCTGGTCAGGTTTTGTCATGGCAACCAGAAGCATGATCCACCCTCCGAGACTTGAGCCAACCAGGATTTGTGGACCTAGAAATGTAACACAGTAAAGGCATCTGTCAAGAATTCAGTCTAACATTTGTCAAGAGTTCAGTAAAAATAATCATGCTTTAAACAAGAAGCTTGCAGTTTATGGATAAAATTGTGTTGTTTAAGATGGACTCCTTTTGTTAAAGGAAATAAAGTTTTAATTGTTATTATGTTAAAAAAGATTGCATATTTCACAGTGTGACAATCATAACCAAACTGGCATTAAGTTTTTAACCCACTGTTAATGTCACTTCTGAAAGGTCAATTGCTGTCATATACTGTGTATGATAACTTTTTAATACTAGTACATAACGTTTAGTGATCTAGCTGCTTTAAAAATAGGAAAGTACCCAAAACTGATGTACAGTTAGATTGATGACTGTGGCTCCCTGCAAAATAAAATTTCAAAATTATAGGCATGATCAAATCCAGCATGTCTTCAGGAATCAGAAGTAATTATTGTTGCAAGATTTACATGAGTGATGTAATGATTTTGCTGGTCTAGACGTTTGTTTTTTGCAATGTGAACTTTCAGAACTTGAAGTATTTCTATTCCTACTCGTTTTATGGAATGCTGGTACACTACTGGGTTACCCAGCATTTTATTCAATGCTGCCCATTTATACACCTGGGTGGAGAGAAAAACTATTTTTGCCCAGGAACACAATGCAACGCCTCGACTGGGACCCTGATCCAAAGACAGTTTACTAACCACTACTCCACTGTCATGGCCTTCCACCAGGGAGAGGGGGTCAAGAGGTCATCCTCGATTAAACACCTTAATATGAATCTTAGCACCCTTCACACATCTGTTCACTAGGTGCAATCTAGCAGTCAGTAGTTTTTTTTTATAGATCTACGAATGGGTGAAATATCTGTCGCAAGGAGGGTGCACACCTTGTGCATCAACGTGTCCATGCCACACCAGCTTGTATCCATAGCTGGATGGAGGCTTGTCATCAGGCTGACATGCCAAAGTAGACATTGCGTCTAAACTGTTTGTGAGTTGGGTGTGCAGATGAGCTAGAAAATTATGCAACCAAGGGAATTAAGCCTATAGGTATAGATCAAAACTATTTTATTACCCTTTTCCAGTGCTACATGCCTTACTGTTGCCACCTAGGAAAGTTTTTGTCAGTTTTCGACAACTTCTGATGGCCAATCAAACTGTGACAACTTGCCAGTGTTTTCAAACATTTGCAGGTTGAGACTTTTGAAATTCACAAAAGAGTGACTAAAGAATTTGACAATTCAACATCTACACCCTCAACAGTTTGGCAACTTCCCATCCTTAGATTGGCTGCTTCAAATAGAAGCCAGGAAAAAGTTGTCAAAAAGGTGACAAAATTATTAAATCAAAAACTTTCTGAAGTAAAATTTCCAAAGGTGATCATTAGGTGTTGATAAAAATAAAGTGTGATGCTGTGAACAGAAAGCTTGTAAAATAGTGATAGCTTCACCATAACTGGAATGAGAGATAGTTAGATATACCCACTAATCTGAAATTTGGGGAAAGGGAATAGAGGGGGTGGTGGTAGCCTGCATAGCAGGCGTTCATATTTCTAAAAGCACGCAAAGGGAACGAATTTTAAAAACTGTAGTCAAGTGCAAAAAGAAAAGGAGCAGTAGGGGAGGTGGGGGGTAACAAAAATGAATCCTTTCCTCCCCTTACCCTTTTTCCTTTATTTTTTTGCTCACCCCTCCCCACTTCTTCCCAGTTTTTGCTCACCCCAGGCGCACGTTCGTTTGCTTACTCGCTTGTATCTCCACAACAGACCCTTGAAAGTCCGAGAGATCGAGGGAGGGCGGGGAGAATTCGGAAGCCATGCAGCTTACCTTTTGCTACTTTGTCAAGAATTGCGAGTACATCAGCTTTCCTCATTCCAACTGTACATTCTTGGCTTCTTCCACTAGACATGCCATGACCCCTGTAGTCGAATCTCACGTATGATTGTCCAGTGCTTCTACAGTAACGTTCTAGTGCCAGCGCTTTCGTACCCTCCATGCTGGACATCAGCCCCGGCAAAAAAATAACCCCTGGAGATTTTCCCGGTAAGTGTCGATATGCTACAAATTCCCCAGGAGCTGGGGATATATACTGAACTACTGACTCAACTGAAGAACTCATTCTTTTAAAACAAATGGCTGATACGCGAGCTAAAAGAAAGTTCCTCATCTCGCCATTCCAGCAGGTCAATCACCCCTTACATTTAATTTCTGCAAAAACGAATATTGTCTTCCACCACTGGTTCCCAGGGTCTCTCATCTCGCCTCTCCTCTCTCGCTCCAGGGCCTAGCGGAGACTACATTGGCGGAAAGATGAGGGACCCTGGGAATGAGGTTGATTCCAACACGGGCCGTCGGATTCCACCGTCGGAGAAGCGCCGCCGCCACAGGGGCCGCTAACTCTTCGGATATACCAGGATTTACAAATTTTATAGTTAGGGACGTACCAATTTTTTTTTTTTGAAAGCGGTGGCGGGGTGGGGGGCCGGGGGGAGCAATTTTCTGGGGTATGAGTCTCCTTCGCAGCCGTTTTCTCCCGTTGGGTGGCACAAGAGAAAATGAACATCCCGAAAAACGGCCGCAAAGCTGAAGGAGTTTGTTTGTGCATGAATTTTTTTGTGGGCAATAGCGTGTACAATAATATTTTTAACATCAATAACAGAACCTGAATAGTAGAAATCACTACTTTTTGCTGGGCAGGAATTGGGTTTTTTTTTTTTTTTTTTTGGAAATTGTCCAACCACGCGCCCTCAAAAAGATAATGGTCCGTCTCTTATCTGTTCTTTGGTGAAACAGATCCTGCTGATGACAAGCACTTCTTTCAATAAACCCTCGTCAAGCCAATCATAAATACCAGGCGCTTTGGGTATACTGTGTCAGCGGCATTACTCATTATGGCGGCGTAAAGTTCTTCAAAGATGGCGATCTTGCCAACTCACCATAACAGGAATTTTCACCCAATTCCCGTCCACAGATCGGGACTTAGGCTTAGAGAAAAATATGTTTTATTGTTAATATTTATAGCTTTTCTTCTTTTATGTTTTGGGGCATTCTTTTTCGTGCCTGACTTGAGAGACAGGACATATTTAGAGGACGCGTACAAGAGGTTTGTTGGTGCCAGAGGCGACATTTTGCCAATCAAGGCTCCCAAAACACCGATTGTTAAACAAGTAGCAGGTAAATACCTGACTTTTGTTACGTTGTAGGCTACATGGTATCAATGAAGAATTGAATTGTCAATGTGGCATTTACTAATTTTCCTCATTCTTTTACTTGCAAGCAAATCCACAAGTCGCTGACGCTACAGAAAGTCCTAAGCTTAAATCTGAAATCCATGGTGAAGGAGCGTTTGACACGCCGGTGAAAAAAATACCAAATGTGGCTTTGAACCACAAAGAATTGATAGAAATGATAAAGAAGGAAAAAGAGAAATTTATTCAAGAGAAAAAATCCCAGGAACATGCTGAAAAGCAAGCTAAAATTGAGAAATTAGTAAATAGTTCCAAAGTCGACGAAACTGGAGCGAAGGGAATAACTGGGGGAGAACCTCTGGACGAAATTACAAAAGAAAGAAGAAACTTTGTTAAAAGGGTGAGTAAGATATATTTCTCTTGACGTGTTAACTCTTGATAAGTGATATTGTGCACACTCACTTCTAGACACTATTAAAAACCTGCATATTAATTTTGTCGACTAACGATTAGACGAGTGCCAAACAGTTGGGGCTCTAAGAGGTTAAAAAATTTATACGTTCAAAGTCTTTATTTTCCCAGTACTTAAAAATTCACAGAAGCATGTAAAAATATGCGATAAACAGTTCGAAATAAATTTATGTTGCAACTGACTTGATAAGAGTTTCCACATTTAATTTACTATTTGCTAATCTTGTTTGTTCGTGTTCGCAAAGCGCCCTATTAATATTCTAAATGAATCGTCGTTACTTTGTAAACTTTTCCGCCTTTTCTCTTCGAAATTGACAACGATCAAATTTGAATTGAAATAGCTTCTTATTTTTTTTCCATCCACTCTCAAGACCCTATTTAAAACAGTGAAAATTATCATTTAAAGCTGAAATGTATGTAATGTTTACTTAGCTGTAGCTGCCTTGTAAGGAAGGAGTGTGATCAGCTGTTGTCTCTCAGATGTAGAAGATAAAGAAAATTTATGAAATTTGTGTTTATCCGAGTTTTACATATTTCCAATTTTGAGGATTTGATAAGTGTCAACTCCACCAAGAGCTATTTGCAAATTACTGTGTTGTGTACTGACAATAGATGGCTTTCACATGACGTCATTAAATTCCAAAATCCAAAGCTAAAGAGGCACAAAAGTTTTTATCCTCATCAGGCATAAGGGGGTCTGAATTTATATCTGTTTACAAGTGCAGTTTAACATTCAGAGTTATGGCAGTGCATGACATACCACTCTGATCGCATTTGTGGAAAAATATACACTTATGTAGTGATGTTAGCCTCTTAAGGAGTTAAAGTGTTAGGAAAAGTGCTTGTGTAAATGTTTGTTTGTTCAGTTCATATAATAAGTTGCCTAGATGGCCAAAGTAAGTTCCAGATATTTACACTACTTTTCAGCCGCATGTTGGTGAAGCACAGAGCTCCACCAACACGGCGACTCCAAACTGGGCTCTAAATTTGCAAAACATTTCGACGAATGTCTGAAGTTTGGGAAAACGCAGAGACCTCAAACTTGGAGAGGGTCTTCTTTGCCTATCTCCTATAACATTACTTGACTTTATCCACTGAATAGTTTTTTTAGTTAATTTTTTTGTTGCATGACAGTGAAAACCATCTATATTCAAAAGTGTCTTGTAAATTCCTAAAAATGCACTGTCAAAGGTGTCTTGGAGTAGCTGAATTTCAACGGGTCAACTTGAGAATCGTTCAGGCTAACCAGAGTACTATTCAAACCAACCATTGTGATATCCAGGTTAACTGTTAACTGACTGCAATTTGACCTGTGAGTCACTGATTTAAAAGACATGGATTCATGATGCATATACTTGTGTGACTGATAAAAACGGGGACCCCTCCTAGAACAGGACTTCTTCAAGTTATTATTACTTTTTTTAATGTTTGTAGTCCTTGTGAAGTAAAGCTGCTAAAGACCACTAAAAGAGCCAAATGAATATTATTAACAATATGCTTTAGATATTGACTTAATGATATATAAAGGATAATCCATGGGTGTGTGTAGATATGGAATATCTCTTACAGTGTTCAACTCAGTATCTCAGGAGTGAGATATAAAGTTGAACACAAGAAGAGATTTTCTATATCTACAAGCAACCATATATTATTATGTTTATTATATAAACATACTGATGATGATGTTTTTGGTGATTTTCCAAAGATTTCTGACCACTTTCCAAAGATTTCGGAAGTTACTTCAAAAATTGTCTGCAGGCCACATAAACAATTTGGAATATTTTCCGAAAAATTTGGAAGATAACTGAAGATTTCCGAAGACTTTGAGGAACATCTGAATATATTTCGATTATACACCAACAAATTTAAGTACAGCTTTAGGGCCAAACATGATATCAGTGAAGTCATCAACAGACCTGCCAACTCTCCCTGTTTTCCCGGGAGTCTCCAAGTTTTTCATCAAATCTTCCGGTCTCCCTGTTAGAGCACCAAATCTCCCGGGAACTACCTACCATGGCTCTTTTCAATTTTTTTCATTAATTTCGTTATTTTCAAGATTTCAAAGAGGAAAATAAAACACAAAGGACATTACTTTGTTGCTCTCATTTGAACTGCTCTCGATCGGAAAATGTAAAACAGAGCAATCAAATTGATATATATTTAATGAGTATCCTAATTGGTCAAAAATCAACCAATCAAATTGCACAATACATGGTACAAAATTGGCACAGTTTTCGCATGCTGTTTACATCAGTCGAAGCAAAGAATGCTGTTCTAACTGAGAGACGTCGCAAATGTTCAGAAGGCCTTTGGGTGATTTTCGGAGAGTATTCAGACATTGTCGAAAATTATATTCTTAAAGGAGAAGGTCACTCCAAAAACTGTGTATTTTTTTCCATCACCAATAAAAAGTTCGCATTGAGTTGAGTTACTCACCATTGTTTTAGCTTCTGTAGTGGATGCGATCCCAGTGAAAAAGAAGTGGAAAATTTGACACTGGGAGCCGCCATTTTGAAGGGATCTTGAAGGCCGGGCTGCATATCTGTGACGTCGTTCCATCCAAGAGTGTGTTTGTTCTTTTGAGCTTTAGTATGGCTGCTCTTGAAGCCAGAACATGCTAGTCATTCTGGGGGAGGTAATAATCAAGATGAATTGAATGATCGGTTGGAAAATGCTCTGTGGTGTACTTGTGAGAGATGTACAACCATACCGAAGCAAAGAGAATGTGTTTGTTGCTGAGAACAGCTGGAGTAGGTCACCAAGATGGAAGGTACATTTTTGCTGACATTTTGCAGGCAATTGCAATGGATGCAGTTAGTGGAAGAGGAAGTTTATTTTTAATTGTAAATTGCTCGCAGAATTGAACTGTTGGCTTAAATAAATCCCCAGTTTAATGCTTTTGATCTGATTTGTCTTCATCTTTATGTTACTGGC